GGTCAGCCGGGTATCTGACACGTGCGGAAACCCATCACTTTGCTTAACAGTATCCAAACCAAACTGAGAATTATAACAACAATAATAATAATATAATCCTTGCATTTGATATAGTGCTTTTCACGTCTTCTCGACGGCTCAAATCGCTTCACAGAGTAGACTGTAAAGTGAATCGACCGTATATTTGTGGGTGAAATTCCATGCATCCCACATGGAAATCCCAGAGATAGATTGTTGGAATGGAATGCGCTCTCTCTTTCTCTCCCCGGAGGGACACATCCTGTTTACCTAATTCCAGAAAGTATTAGGCACAGGTTGGCAAGAGACAAGTTTTGGGGACCCCAGAGTGTGCTTTGGGGGTAACTGCTGGAGTCTAACCAACTAAAACCACGTAGCTTGAGCTCATAAATAGCTTGACCCTGTAGTCCTGAGGGAGGTTTGGATTAGATGTTAAACTGAGGTCCCATCTGCCTGGTTCAGTTGGTAAAGATCCCATTATTGGAGAAGAGAAGGGAGTTTTTCGCAGTGTCCTGGCTGAAAAATCTCCAGATTAACTGCCTGCGTTGTAGCTGCTGATATGGAGACTTGTGGAAAAATGGTAAAAAGCATTGATTTTTATAGCACCTTGAGTGTTCGAACATTGCAAAGTGCTTCACACCTAATAACTTTCAACTTTAGTGACAATTTTGTTCAGCAAATGTGGAGTCTTTCTTCGCACAGCGATGACTCGAAGTAGAATCGTAAAAATCCTTGTATTTTATCACATCGTTGAGTCTCAAAGCACTTTGCAGGATATGCTTTGCAAAATATAATCAATCCACTTTGCAGTATATTCTGTGAAGTACCAATTTTATTTGGGAGTTTGTTGGCCAGGACCCTGGGAGAGGTAAACTCCTTTCTCTTTTTGAATAGTGTCAGACGTCTCAATTATGTAATAAGATGCTATACCAAATGCAAGGATTATTATTATAATAAGTACGCAGTTTAACCGCTCTCTAACCTCTCTGACAATGCACTGGAGTGCCAGTTAATAATAATAACAATCCTTGCATTTTGATATATGATGTCTCAAAGCGTTTCACAGGATATATTGTAAAATGATGTATATGAACCTGTGTGTTTGATGGTCGTGACTTGGTGGTTTAACCCACAACCTTTTGACTCCAAGATTAGAGCACAAAGAACTGAGCCAAACTGGGAACGGTTGTCAGTCACCATCATTCAGTCAGTGACCGTGTGATTCCTTCCATTCCTCTCAGGTTCGCAGCTGTTGGATGAGTCTCTCGTGCATCCATTATTCTCCATGTAAAATGTATTAGATTGTGTATAAATAGGAAAACTGAAGCTGGAAATAACTTTGGATCAGGTTCCCAGGAACCTGTGCTCATCACGGCGTCAGCTTGGCTCAGTTGGTAGCACTCTCAGTTGGGTTCGAGCCAACGTCAGCGACTTTGAGACTCCCCATCCAGGCCAACATTCCAGCACAGTGGTGGGGGAGCACTAAATCATTCCAGAGGCGAGTCTACGGTGGAATTTCAGAGAGCGAGGGCAGAGTGGCGGTTAGGGAGGAGGACATTGCTTGCTGAGTGGAGGGGTATTGCATAGGAACAGGAGTTGGACATTCAACCCTGTTCCGCCATTCTATTAGATGATGGCTAATAATCTGTACCTCAACTCCAACTGACTGGAATTTGCCCCATATCCCTTAAAAAATATATATAAATATACTAATTTGGTCAGTCAATCCACGACTGTTTGTGGGACCCCGCTGTGGACAATTGGCTGCCACTTTTCGCCCACAAAACAATTCATTTTACAGGAAATTCTGTGAAACACTTTGAGACATCTAGAAGACGTAATAAAAGGGGCGATATCAAAAGTTTAATATTATTATCATCCCTTGATACCCTTACTGACTGATACCCTTCCAGTCAGGAACCTCGGTGTCTTGTTCAACCCTCAACTATCTCTTCTTCCCCACATCCAAGCCATGACCCGCTCTGCCTTCCCTCACCTCCATAACATCACCCGACTCCGCCAATACCTCACCTGCCTTCGTCACCTCCAGGCTCGACTATGCAAATGCCCTGCTTGTCAGCCTTCCCAACTCCTCCCTCCACAAGCTGTAGATAATCCACAACTCTGCAGCCCGTGTCCTCTCCCGCACCAAACTCCATGACCCCATCTCCCCCATTCTCGCCCGACTCCACTGGCTCCCTATCCTTCAGAGGATCCAGTTCAAGATCTTGGTCCTCACCTATAAAGCCCTCCATGGCCTCGCCCCATCCTACCTCTGCGACCTCCTAACCCTCTACCAACCCGCCCATTCCCTCCGCTCAGCCGGCTCTGGCTGCACCACGTCCCCCGACCCACCCGCCCCACCATTGGCGGGAGAGCCTTCAGCCACTCTGCCCCCAACCTCTGGAATTCCATCCCCCAGTCACTCCGCCTCGCCCCTCCTTAGCCTCCTTCAAGTCCTGCCTCAAAACCCTTCTCTTCGACCATGCCATCGGCCACCCATTCCCCTCCCCCCCTTCTCCCCCCCCCCCCCCCCCAGACCTCAGCTCGCGTCTGAAATGCTGTATTCTCTCCAGCGCTTTGGGACATCCTTCCGACGTGAAAGGCACTATACAAATGTAATCTTGTTGTTACCTAACAAAAATCTATCCATCTTAGTCTTGAAAATTTTAATGGATTCAGCATCGATAGCCTTTTGGTGAAGAGAGTTGCAATTTCCACTACGCTCTGCATGCAAAATGCTTCCTGATTTCACTGGTAAATGCACTGGTTGCCACGTTTCACCCAGAAAATACGGTGAATCTGAAGCGCTTTGAGATGTCTCAAAGATGTGAGGAGGTACCATATCAAATGCAGGGATTATTCTCAATGTCTGTAACTCCCTCATGTAGTTTGACAGCAATAGTGAGCAATTTACAGGGGTTACTGCTGGGTTAAACAGCTCTAGCCTTGCTTGCCCCCTCTTCATTAATTATTTATTCTCCATTATCACGTCTCCATTGTTGTCACCTACTAAACGTCGATTCATTATTATCAGTTGATCGTGTCACGCAGGTCTAGGGACAGGGAGAATTAGACGTCAGAATATCTGCTCTTGTATCTGCAAATCCATTGTTTGGGTTGGGATTAACGAACAAAGACTTTAATAGTAATCCTTGCCTTTCATATAGAGCCTTTTCATGCCAAATGATTCTTCACAGCAATTATCATTGCACTATAGGTGAACGCAGCTGCTAATTTGCACATAGACACGTTCCAAAATCAGGAGGCAAAGGCCCAATTTTATCTGGGGAAATCGTGGCCACGACACCAGGTGTCAGCCTGACTCAGTCAGTGATGCTCTAATCTACTGGTCAGACGTGGGTTCAAGCCCCAGGATGGGATATTGAGCTCACGCAGTCCAGGCTAACTCTCCAGTGTAATACTGAGATGTCGTCCTTCAGATGAGATGCAAAACTGAGGACTTGTCTGCTTCTTTAGGTGGCTGGCTCAGTGGGTGTCATCCTCGCTCAGTGGTAGTACCCTTGTTTCTGAGTTAGATGGTTGTGCGTTAAGCCTCAAGTCAACTCAAGCGGTGCTGGGGATATGCTGCTTTTCTTGCAGTGCCATCTGCTTGTTCAGGTGGATTTCAATAACAATAATAAATAATCCTTGCTTTTGATATTTAGCGCTTGATCACTTCACTGAGATGTTTCAAAGCGCTTCACAGTACACACTGTATAGTGGAGTGACTGTATATTTTGTGGGTCAAACGTGGAGGCCAGTTGTATCCCACAAATAGCCATGGAGTGCATGATCAATTTCATTTGGGGGTCAGGCCACTGAGAGAAATCCCCTCCTCTTTTCGAACAGCACCATGAAGCACTTTGCATGAAAGGCCCATTACCAAATGCAAAAAAAGCAGTAAGGATGTTAACATTGCTATGATACTATTGGAAAACAGAAGAGCGTTTCCTCTGGCCAACAATCCCTCAGGTACAATAGACTTGCATCATTTGTTTGCCATTCCGACAATCTATCTCTGGGGTTTCCACTTATAGGTGGGATGCATGGAATTCCCATCTTGGTTTGGATACTCTTAAGCACGGGTTGGGTTTCCGCATGTCTCAGACATCAGGCTGACCAAAATAATGTTTGTGGGACCTTGGCTGCTGTGTTTTGTGTTGTCTACAGTCAGTGGACCTAACAACAATTACCTGTGAATCATTTTGAGACGATACAGAAATACAGTCCGAGCACGGCTTTTGAGAATCTTCTACCTCAGCGCCTTGGGACGTCCCCCTGACGTGAAAGGCACTCTATAAATATAATGTTGTTGTTGTTGTTGTTGTTGTTAATTGTTTCTCTTTCAGGAGTGAGAGGCGATGTGGACCACAGCCAGCCTCGCTGTGTAGCAACTGGGAATTCAAAGGAGCTGCAAGAGAGAGAGAGAGAGAGAAAGAGCTCTTCTCTGTCTCTCTTGAGAAAGAGAGAGAGAGGCTACTTAGTAGGGAAACCCGCTGTGTCTCTGGCTGCAGACACAGTGTGTGTGTTCACCAGATCACAAGAGCGTCTCATCCTTCCAGGCTCCCCTCCCTCCCATCACAACATCCAGCAGTTTCTTCAGTGAACCTAGCATCCTCAACAGCCCTGGCGGACAACCTGCTCTGGGTATCGATTCCCCGTTCTATGTAAAGAAATACTTTCTGGTGAACAAACTGAAATTGCCCTTCACGCACCATCACTTGCGGCTCTTGTCCTGCCTGTCCTTGACGTATTCTGCTGTGACGTTCTCGATCCCACTTGGAATGGGGGCTTCCACCAAAGATATTGTGGGCACAGACCGTGCTGGCTGAGGGGCAGGGCTGGGAGGAAAGGGTATGTTGAGCAAGAGGCGGATACTCTTGGGCAACACGCCGCCAGGAGCTTCGGTTTGAGTTTGGTTCCAGCAGAAATTGATACAGACCTTTGTTTACTTGATTGGCCTTCAGATGAGAAGGGAGGAGACCGGTCCTGCAGGTGGTTGACTGACCGAGCGATGGCGGGCAAGTCAGACCTCGCCGGCCGTGTGCATGGCTTCGACCTGGGCGTGCGCTACGTTGAGCTGAAGCCGCTCGGCTACGGCGCCAACGGGCTGGTCTTCGCGGCCATCGACAGCCAGAGTTACCGCAAGGTGGCCGTCAAAAAGATCACCATCAGCGACTCGCTCAGCGTCAAGCACGCCCTGCGGGAGGTCAAGATCATCCGCCGGCTGGAGCACGATAACGTGGTCAAGGTCTTCGAGGTCCTGGGCCCCAAAGGGAGCCACGTGCCCAGGGACATGTGCGGACTGACTGTGGTCTATATAGTCCAGGAGCACATGGACACAGATCTGGCACGTCTCTTGGAGCAGGGCTCCCTCACGGAGGAACACGCTAAGCTCTTTATGTACCAACTACTCCGAGGGCTCAAGTACATCCATTCGGCCAATATCCTGCACCGTGACCTCAAGCCGGCCAACGTCTTCATCAACACTGAGGACCTCCTGCTGAAGATCGGGGACTTCGGGCTGGCGAGGATCGTGGACCCTCATTATTCACACAAAGTAAGATATTAATAATTAACACAGAAACTGTAACCTCAGAGCGGGTAACAGTGTAGTGACTGTGTATCCGTAGGCAAAGTGATGCAAAGTGATGCAAAGTGATTGTACTGTCCAACAAACAATGAAGTGAGTGACCAATTTTATCCGAGGATTGTTGGCCAGGACACTGGAGAGTATGAAATGTAACTTGATAAAATGTTAATATCAATAATCACCAACTCGTGCATTTAATTTTCATCTTATAGAATCTTACAGCTCACAAGGAGGTCATTCGACCCATCGCGCCTGTGCTGGCTCTTTGAAAGAGCTGTTCAACTAGTCCCACTCCCCCCGCTCTTTCCCCATAATAAATATTTTATAAAATCAAACATATAAGATATAGTTTGCCGCAAAATATACAGTCAATTCACTTTACAGTGTGTTCTGTGAAGCGCTTTGGGACGTCCTCCCGACGTGAAAAGCGCTATATCAAATGCAAGGATTATTATTATTATTAATTCACTTCGCACTATTATTTTATTACTATTTATTTATTTATTTTTATTTTTATTATTCTGTGAAGCGCTTTCAGACGTCCCGAAAACATGATAATCGAATACAAGGATTATTATTATTATTATTTTATTATTATTATAAGCCTGCACATTTCCCTTTGTAATTCTCTTTTGAAAGATACTATTGATTCTGCTTCCACCAACCTTTCAGGTAATGTATTCCAGACTCTTAACAACTCGCCGGGTAAAAAAAATTCTCCTCCCCATCTGATGATAATAATCATTAATACTAATAATACTGTTAATAATAATGATACCAATAATTAATACAGAAACTGTAACCTCAGAGAGCGTCACAGTGTAGTGACTGTGTATCTGTCAGCAATAGAGGCAAAGTGATGCAAAGTGATTGTACTGTCCACCAAACAATGAAGTGACTGACCAATTTTATCCGCGGATTGTTGGCCGGGATACTGGAGAGTATGAAATGTAACTTGAAAATACAAATGAAACGCTTTACAAATGAAATATTGTTGTTGCTGTTAAGAGAGAAACTCTCTTCTCTTTTCGAATATTGTCACATCCACCTGATCAGGCGGGCGGGGGCCTGTTTTTAATGTCTCCCCGTCCTCTTCGACCGCACCTTTGGTCACATTGCAACCTTTACCCTCCCTGCCTGCACCTCTTGATCGCAACCCTTCGCTCGGGTTCAAATCCCTGACTGTCCAGCGCTTTGGGCTGTCCTCTCGACACGAATGTCATTCATTGTTGTCTCATCTGAAGAACAGCAACTCCTGACAATGCAGCACTGAGCCAATGCTGCATTGGAGTGTCAGCTTTCACTGGGATTCAACTTTCTGAGAGCGTAACTCACTGAGCCAGGCTGAAACACAACTCGTCCAAGGGACGGCCGCTCTGACAATGCAGCATTCCCCGCTCCCCCTCCCTCCCCCCAAGCACAAGAAGGATTTTCAAGGAAGGGGTCAATTTATCGAATCCAGTCTCATTTACACACTGCGCACTCATCCAAATCCAATCCAGATTCCGTTCATGTCCCCTCTCTTCACACTTCCCCTCACTAACACAAAGCCTTCTTCGAATTTGACAGCCTGGCTCAGTTGGTTGCCCTCCCATCCTTTGGATGAGAAGTTAAAACAGGATCCCATCTGTGCTTGTTAAGGTGGACGTTAAAGATCCCGCAATGCTATTGGAAAAGGGAAGTGAGTTTCTCTCAGTGCCCTGATAAACAGATGGATATTGTATTGCTTAGAGCACTCCCTCACAAGCGAGAGGACTGGGTTTGGTTCCCAGCCAGGGCGAAACCGTAGGCAAGTTTCCTTATTACACGCTGTTTATCTAGCAGTAACTCTTAACCTACAAAATTCCGCCCACAAAATATACAGTCGATTCAGTTTACGGTATATTCTGTGAAGCACTTTGAGACGTCTCGAAGATGTGATAAGGCGCTATATCAAGTGCAAGTTAGTCAATTGGCGGATCATTTTTTGAGGATAATAATCCCTTCAAATAAATAAATAAATAAAAATAATAATAATTTGGTCCCTCAATCCACGACTGTTTGTGGGACACTGCTGTGCGCAATTGGCTGCCTGACAAAATACACAGTTAATTCACTTTACAATGTGTTCTGTGAAACGCTTTAAGACGTCGCAATGACGTGATAAGGTGCTATATCAAATGCAAGTATTGTGATTATATTATAATTACTGCGGGATTATGTGTGAAAATTGGCCACTGTGTTTGCCTACAAATATAGTCACTACACTTGACAGAAATTACCAGTGAAGTGCTTTGAAATGCTTTGACGTGCTAAAGCTCTAGATCAAGTTAAAAGATTCCTCTGGAATAGGTCTATATTGCTCTGTAGCCAGCAGTGCCGGCCAACAGAGCTGATTAGATTAATGAATGGCCTGCACTGGGCAAGTGAAACACAAACATATGGGCTGCGGCTGACGTCAAGTAGAAAATCTGTTTCACAGAAAGAGGCAGGAACATTTAAACCTTTAACCCCCTCAGGCATCTTCCAATCATTCAGATCCAAGGCAATCGGCACATCACCGAACCCTCAGCCCACTATAAGAGTCTTTTCTCCATCAAGGCTCCATCTTTTCTTTTCTCAATCCACCTATTTTCTGTGTCTTCATATTGGAGTCCTATAGACTAATGGTTAGAGCGCTCGCCTCGCAAGCGAGAGGTCCCAGGCTCGATTCCCAGGCCGGGCGAAACCTTAGGCAAGTTTCCTTACTCCACACGCCTCTGTTTACCTCGCAGTAAATAGTAACCGGGTTGTTAGTCAATTGGCGGATCGCTTTCCAAGAGGATAATAATCCGCTCCCTCCCAGTGAGGTACTAATCCGCCCCCTCAATCCTCGACTGTTTGTGGGACACTCCTGTGTGCAATTAGCTGCTGCATTTCTCCCGCAAAATACAGTCAATTCACTTCACAGTATATTATGTGAAGCGCTTTGAGACATTCGAAGATGCCTTCTGATAAGGCGCTGTATCAAATGCAAGGATTATCAATATTATTAAATGCAGGGATTATCATTATTATCTCTATATTCGGTGTCAGCCTGGGTCAGTTAGAAGCAGTCTCGCCTCTGAGTTAAGCCCCACATTGGGACCTTGAGCTCACACACTCTAGGCTGACACTCCAATGCAGTGTGTGGGGGTGGGAGGAAGAGTGCTCTCAATTAATGGAGGTGCCGTCCTTTGTATGAGACATCAAACCAAGGCACCTCTGCCTGTTCAGGTGGACGTTAAAGATCCCATGGCACTATTCGAAAAGAGAAGGGAGTTTCTCTCTCTTGGATTCCTGGTCAACAAATCCCCAAATAAAATTGTGCATTCACTTCACGTTGCTTCTGGCACTTTGGGGTAAACTGCTTTAGTTTTAGCAGCTAAAGCGCAGTCTGGCAAGCCTCCTGCTGTTTATCCAGCTAGAACCACCCTACGCATTAGAGCTTTGGTTAACAGGAGCCGAATGGGAAGAATCCCTGCCCCCCCCCCCCCCCCACTGATATATTCTGCACGCTTGTGTGAAGATTAATGCCTGGGACACAGCAGTGATGAGAGGCTGGATAAACTTAGGTTTGTTTTCCCTGGAGCGGAGGATCTGACTGAGGTATTTAAAGTGCTTTGAGATGTTGAGATGTTGCAGACACTTTCTCGAACGTTGTATAAGAATTATTATTTGTGGAGTTCTGTAGCTCAGTGGTTAGAGCGCTTGCCTTGCCAGCGAGAGACCTGGGTTCGATTCCTAGTAGGGCGAAAGGTTGGGCAAATTTTCTTTACTCCACACGTGTCTGTTAACCTAGCTTCAAGTAGGAACTTGGTTGTTGGTCGATTGATGGATAGCTTTCTGGGAGTAATAATCCCTTCAAAAAAAAGAAACAAAATCATAAAAATCATTTGGTCACTCAATCCACGTTTGTGGGACACTGCTGTGCACCACTGGCCGACACGTTTCGCCCACAAAATATAGAATCAATTCACTTTACAGTTTCTCCTGTGAAGTGCTTCGAGACTTCTCAACGACATGGTAAGGAGCTATATCAAATGCAAGGGTTATTATTGTTAGGTCGTATGAACAGCCACAAAGAGAGAGGTTTTATTGTTGGCTAGGACACTGGGAGAAACCCCTTTCCCTTTTTTTCCCATCACTGCGCTGGAGCATCAGCCTGGACTGTGAGCTCAAAGTCCCCCACGTGAGGCTCGAACCCACGACGTTCTGACCCCTAATCGACTGAGCCACACACTTAACTCTGACGCGGGAGACATGGGTTCAAGGTTTACCCTCCAGAAACATTCTCGCTCAATTGGAACAATGCCTTTTGCAGTGTGAGGGGCCCTTAGCTCTGGGATATATCAATGGGATTGCTGCCTACAGCACTTCAAGTGTAGTGAGTCCTCTGCCAGACTGTGGGGTGAAGTGTCGCTGAGAGCTGACTGTGCGATTGTTAATATTAGCTGTTTGTTTGGTGTCTGTTTTCTCTTGTGCGATTTTTTTTTTCCCCCCCCCATAGAATCAGAATTATATTATTAATAATAACAACACCAACCTGGAGTGCTGTAGCTCAGTGGTTAGAGCACTTGCCTCGAAAGCGATAGGGACCCTGTTTCGGTTCCCAGGCGGGGCGAAATCTTGGGCAATTTTCCTTACTCCACACGCCTCTTGTTTACCGAGCAGTAAGTAGGAACCCGGTTGTTAATCGATTAGTGGATCACTTTCCGGGAGTAATAATCCTTTCAATAAAATAAAATAATAATAATTTGGTCACTTAATCCACAACTGTTTGTGGGACAATGCCCTGGACAATTGGCTGCTGTGTTTTGCCCAGAAAATATACAGTTAATCTACAGAGTGCTACCAGCTAAGCTGGGCAGACATCTTACAACAACTTGCATTTATATACAATGCTCTTCATACAGAGTAGCTTTTCAGAGCGCTTATAATGAACATTAACTTTTAATGATATAACCATA